ACAATAATAAAGTTATACAAATATTAAAAAAAAAAATAAAGATAGATAAAAACATTGATAAAATAGAAAATACAGAACATAATGAAAGTCATATAAACATAATTTTTTTCTCCTTTTAAGTCATAGATGATCACTTACATTTAAATGTCACAAGGCTACCAAATGAAAATTTTTCAAGTAACTAAGGGTATTAGGACACCTTACAATTTATCAACAGGAAAAAGGTGAATTCCAGGGAAAATAATTATTCCAAGATAAAATAATTCCTTGTTCATAATATTTTTTATCAAACTTCATATGCTAATACATCCTGATGTAACCTTTTCAACTGCATCAACAATTTTGATCTTGACCTTTCCTTTGACCTTAACTTAATTTATTTTAAATTAGTGTTTAGCTCAGTTTTAAATAAACCATTCAAAATGTTTTTATCAAACTTAAATATGCTGATATGTATTTTTGAGAAGTATTCAACTGCATCAAAAACATTTGACCTTGAACTTTCCTGTGACTTTGACCTCACTTTTCTTAGATTTGCATTTTGCTTAATTTTAAAGAAACCATTTAAGATATATTTATGTAAGTTTATGCACTTATATAATTTGGCGAGAATTTATCATCTATATCAAACTTTTTAGATTTCAATTTCAATTTTAAAGAAACTATTCAAGATATTCTCATTAAATTTCATACACTAATACAAATTTTCATGTTGCATTACTAATAAACCCTCGGCGGGGCATTCATGTCCTATGGACATATTTCTAGTTTATAATGTCAAGAAAGATAGCTATAAAAACCGATACGGAATAAATTGTAAGCGATATTCAATTTTAGTGATCTCAAAATCCTTGCTAATAATGCCAAAATTGATTCCTAGCTAAAATTTTGCTTAGACGGTATGTATTTTTTTTCAAGAGCCCTTTCAGCCATTATTGACGCACTCAACAAGGTACTGGTCTCCATTTAATTATAACCACCTCGTGGTAGCTAATGCCAACCAAAGTTTTCAGTAAATGATAATGTGCATTTACAGTTTAATTCATAAAGATATTATTTTTATGGATTCTATATACATGTATAGCCTATATCTCTACTTTTTTAATTGAAATGCCTTTAATTTAAACAACAATTCTTTATTCACGAAGTGAATGGGATTGTGCATGAGTAAGGCACAGCCTATTTTCACTCTCTCCCTACAAAGATTGAGGCCTTTAATTGATATACCAGTTGTAAAGGAAGAATAGAGAACAAGGTCTTTTATATTGCTATAATCATGAACGTAAATTAACCTATTGAAAAATTCTATCTGTAGAAATTTAATATCATGTCTAAGACATGTTCTCATGAGTGCTCTGTGTGATTAAAGAGCTGCTCTTGAGGAAGAAAAAAGAAAAAGGAAAAAAAACTCCTCTCTAAATTGTCACTTTCATTGGTAAAAGTGTTTTCCTTCTATCAACTTTCTGATAACTGCCTTAGATAATACACTATTTGTCAGTTTGTATAAACATACTTATTTCTTGATGTCTGAGAGTTTTAAACACCCCACAAGGCTTTAGAGTCTGTATGCTGGGTAACAGTTTGAGGGAAGTGTTTGACAGAAAGGGATTATTGACATACAAACAAACCCAGCAGGCAATCAGTGTAATGTCCTATCTGTCAGGTAAAACTATATACAGCTTGTTAGTGTTTTAATATAAATAAGGAAAGCTGAAAAATTAATATGCTTTGATTGATATCTTTTTTTGGCCACCTTTCCTTATAATGGTACCAGTATACCTGGTATGTATATTATCATTAAGGGGAAAATTATTTCAGTAATTCTTTTTTTTTTAATCTGCTTTGGGAATCAATGTTCTGCATTATAATACATTGATCACTATTGGATAGGCAACGGTCTATGATAATCTTTTTTTTCCAATACCACTTTTTTTGCGACTGGATCGATTTATTAAATTTTTAAACCTGTCAATTTTTGATCAACCAGTCTATCCATTGAGCAATTTATAACATAATCATGATTATCATAACATAAGTTGTCATATTTATCATTTGAGAACCTAGCTGTAGAAAGTTACATTTATTTAATTTATTACAAAAGTTTTAGTCACTATAGTTTACTATAATTAGAAATTTAACATGCCCATCAGGCTATTTACCAGTCCATGGATGTTGATGTGTTTGCTTTGCTCGGACTGTCATAAATTGTGTCAGCTACCTGTAACTCTGACATCGGAAAAATCTTTAATAATTTTAATGAGGTGTTTGCATGAATAGCTCACTTACAAAGAAACCTTTCAGTGTTTTTGCCTGTATATACATGTGGATTGTACAGATTGTTTGAAAGAACATGTCTGTCTTTCAGCAGTGTTTGGGGTGATAAATCAGACCTTACAACACCTTGGAGTAAACAATTATACCTATTAATATCATTTATTTTTCTCATCTTCAAAGTATTCATTGATATGGATCACCTCAATCAAATACACATGTACCATGTAAAAATGGAAGCATTATTCAAAATCACATAAAGCTAAAACTGAGACAGTTTCATGTTTACTCATAGCTATCTGCTGAAAATGTAAACTGCACATACATATATTTAGACATAAAGATCGAGCTGTATCATGTAGACTTCACTTTGTTCACCAGTAATGACAGGATAAGTTATCTCCCTTAACAGAGTAGCACTAGTTTACAAGTTTAGAAGTTAAGCTACTTTTCTCCAGTTCAGGACCTTGGAATCCAGTTGATTAGGGAAATAGCGGATTAAATAGTGCACCAATCTGTCTGTTCATTAAGGACCAAAGGGCTGGGATTACACTTAATTACATGTCTTTAGAAAAGTTAAGGATTAAATATCTATTGTGGTTCATTGATATGAAACTCAAGAGAGTATGGTGTTTTAATTATCGTTAAAAAGCCAGGTAAGGTACTTATTTGACTTGAGTGGTTTTGAGAATTCAAATGCATGTTATTAACTTAAAAATGATGGTAATGAACTAAATGCCATTTGATTATATTGAATAAAATGTACCTGGTAAAATGTTCATGCCTCAAGATCAAAGGGCATATTATTTATAGTCAGACTGTTATGTGTGTTGACAACATTTACTTTCAAACTGGTTGTAGCTTTTAATCAATTTGATATACGAGGGCTGTTCAGAAATTATTGAGACATTGTGTATATTCTTCTTTCTAATGAACGTTTTTTGATGAAAATTTGCATATACGTTTGACAAACACTAAGAATTAATAAAAGCAAGAAATATTTTTAAAATATTTTATTTCTTCTTTTCAATGGTATATTTATGTGTCAATGGTAGGGGGTACCCAGCGCAGTCACGAAATCAGATATTGAAAATATGTAACACCAACGACCAAACTCCTGGTGGACCCATAGTAAGAGCGAAAATAATTCCAATTATGTATATAATTTTTCAATTTAATTTTTACATCATTTTGTGCAAGTTTGTTAGAATTTCGATCAGAAATATGGAGATCATTAAAAAATTTAAGCACGGTATAGCAATCTGATAACGACGACAAAACAGATTTTGACGTCAAGGCGGAGCAGCAAGCATACCTAAGATTTTGTGTAGCGGTATTGAGAACTGTTGTCCAGACTAAACAACCTGCTAAAACAATAACAATGCAATAAAACATGTCTAAGGGTTTATTTTTCATTGGTATATTTTTTCTTACAGATACTTCAACCAGAGTAAAAACGACCATCAATTATTACGGACTAAATAACATTGACTCGTGTTGCATAACTCGGTACTGCATAATACTTTGTCAACCTGTATATGACACTTCGTGTATATTTTACACTGGGATAGCAACAGCACACTTTATTTTAATTATTTTAAAGAATCGTTTAAGAATTAATAGTATAAGAGACAGTTTGAATTCTGGAATGCTATATGTAATGATAGAGAAAGTAGATTGAACACTTCCTGATCATTTCACAATGAGAAAATATCGGCTGGCGTGTCGTTAAAATGACATAGTGATGCTGCTCCAGGTCAATAGACATATGCTTGTTTATAATTTCACCAGAACTTGTTTAATTATCCTATAAATTAGAAATGTTGCACAATTGTTTTATTTGTTCTTAATATAATATGTTGATGAAATTTCATGAATTTATTCCCGTCCTTTGTGGAGTAAAAGTAATTGTCTCAATAATTTTCAAACAGCCCTCATATATTATTATATATATCCCCACAAAGTTTGGCATTTGTATATCTATCCATCTGTTTTTGTAGCTGTCTGTCTGTCTATCTGTGCATTGACTTTATAGAAAAGGTTGCCTGACCTGAGGCTTTATCTTAATTTTTACCCAAGGATATTATGGTAAATTGAGGGTCACTTGCAGAAAAAAATGAAAATCTGTGTCCAGTCCATAACTGTTTAACAGAGAAACAAAGCTTCTTCTTCAAAGATTGGTATTACCCTATGGGTGTTCCAGAGCTGACAACCCTTGCAAATTTTGCGCAAGTCTTATGGTTTTAAAGTGTAAAAAATACCTTAGATTTCTCTATTTATTCTTTCCATTTCTGTTTCTCTCCATCAATAATTTGAAATACCAGAATTTTTATAGATGTCCACTTTCAGTTTTCATTATATTTTATAAGAAAAAAAGTCATAATCCTTATAGCGCTTGCTTTTATTGTCATTGTCCATTTCTACTAACTTGTGATTTAAATCATTTTAAAGTAAACGAAATGAAAAATTCTCATGCAGTCAGGGGCCTAGGCAGCCCTGAACCCCCTCCTTATGATTTTTTATTCAATGATGTTGGCATCTCTGATGTTACACAGTGTGATTATATTCTAACAAGGCTACAAGGTAGAAAAGATTTGAGATGTAGTAATTCAGAAAGGGGGATGTCATTTTGTAAGCCATGTTCACTGTTAATAAATTATGTCTAGTTTCATACTTCAGGCATATTAGATATTCCTTGTTAATGCCAGTATATTCTGATTGCTTTGTAGAGTAGTGTAGCTGATGAGAAGAGATATCTACAGTCAGCCAGCAGCTCTCAGAGTTCTCGCTGGAATACAAGCAGTCAGGGACTCAGACTAGAGAAAGAATGGACAGATCTGGCCAACTCTAGATCTCTTAAAAGGAATTCAGAGGTTTGTGCATGAATTATTTTAAAAAGAATCCTAAACTTTCTGTGATATTTAAATGCATAATCTCTAATGCATCAGATGTAGAACGTGGAATTTTGACCCCATTTAAAAGTGTAGTATTATTTTGAAACATTCTCATAGACAGAATTTTGCATAAAAGATTATTTTTATTGTTAATATAGATTAACAATTTAAACTCATGGTAATTTAGGAATAGAAATTTTGATATATTCCTGTACAATATATAAAGATTTGACTTATTTATATTTATACATGGTTGTGAATATTATAAAAATTAATTTTTTGATACATATATATAAACTTTACTGCTCTGTGTTTTACGATTTATAGATAGTATCACACAGAGTTGACAGGATGTATTTTATGACTGGTAACTCCATTAACATCAAGCCCAAGTATCACGTGGATGATGAGGAACTGAAACAGCTTCGAGAACTCTCCAAATCCAGACAGTCCTCACGGCGGCAAAACCGGTAAGCTGACAGTCACTGGACCTATTTAATATTTCATTTTATTGTTTGCTGTAATGTGGTTTATTTTTTCATTTGTGATTTCATTCAGACTTTCATTATACAGCAACAACTTCATTCTATCACGTAATAACTGGTTTCATGTACATCTTATCATTCATTGTTCTAATTGTTTCTGATCTTTCTATGTAAGTACCTGTGACCTTTCTGACTTTCTCTCTTTCTCCATCCTCTCACTTTCCCCTCCCATATAAGGTGTGCTCATTTCATGGAACCCTGTGTTGAAGAGGAATCTGTGTGTCCAGAGCCTAGTGTAATAGAGGAAGAAGAAACCATGGGTTCTGAAGATGAGTTGAATCAAATAGCACCCAATATCAACCACAGCAAAAATCATTCTGTTCAGTCTATGGTTCTGGAGGGCACTTCAGAAAAAGATTTAGAAATACAGAAAGCATCACAGAATCAATATGAAGAAGTCCCAGATAATGTTGAAGATGAAGGAGGATATAATATGAGGACTCCTAACTTATTACAGAGAAATACAGGCTCAGTGGTGAGCAGTTCTGGTGACCCTGAATGTGGGCAGCAATCTGGAGACATGAAGATTGTGAGTCCAGAGGAAGGAGAAGTGATTGAGCAAGAGAAGGAAACTGACCAGGATGTTGTTTATGATGGAAGCTCAAAGAGCATGAGAAACAATGCAGACGAGGTAGATGAGAATTTGTTGAAAGACCCATCATCAGAATTTGTAGAGTCTAATGATACTACAGACCTGAAATTAAAACCATTATCTCCAAATCTTAGTCATATTAGTAAGGAGTCAGGAATTCAAATAGATCAAGAATTTAATGAAGAACTACCATCACAGGAGCCTTCGGAACCAAGAGATTCTGAAAAGGAGCACGAATGGGAAGACAGGATCAAGTTTACTCACTGGATTGTAGATTTTGATGATGTGTCTGTGGCTGATCTGTTGGCTCACGGAGAAAAGAATATCATTGGTGAATGTATGACAACACTTCTGAAGGATTTCTATGCTGGTGTGAAGAAACCTAGGTTTGAATACAAAACAGGAATTCAATTTCAACAAAATCTAAAAAAGAAAGTTGTAAAGAAACCTAAAATATGCAAGAACAAGGAGAAAGGACCATGTATAGAAACACCAGTAGCATGTAAAGAGGGGACATATTTTAAGAAGTTCCCAAACAGGAAAGCCAGTCATCATGGCTACAACAGACTCCATCAGATGCCAGTAAAATGTGGGTGTAGGGAGAACAAAGGAAATCTGAACAGTGATTTGTTTATTGAAGGGACCCCTGTTCCTATCTATAAGTTAGTTGATGATACAATGGAAGAATTCAAGCTTCATTACTTGTAAAAATGGTTTTTCATAAAATTTATTACTAAGTAATATATTTTGCAATTTTACCAATTTATTTATAAAGTTTATTGAGAATTGAACTGTTTTCTGTCTGTGTGTATTAGGGTCATTCATATGCCTATGTGGTGAGTACCTATCATTTCTGTGACATTACCCTGTAACCTGTATCCAAACTCTGCCTGGGGAAGGGCTGATATTTAGTTACATTACAAAACCCATTCTGGTATATGTGTTTATACCTATTGATTTATATGACTCTAATCATATTTAAAGTATTGAGTAGATGTTTCATATGATACTTCTATAGCAATCCTTTCCTAATAAAGCTATAACATGTACTACTTTGCTTATTAAATATATTGGTAAAATTACAATTGATTAATCTGTCAGTTAGGTATACCAGTAGCTCATATGATGATAATGCTGATTTTTAGGAGAATAGAGTTCAAACCTTATGAGGTGTTACCTTGATTTAAAGGGCTGCGGAATAATATCGATATTCCGGTATATTGTGATTCGTTAACAAAAATATCATATTGCAATACATTTTTCAGTACCGATATTCCTGCAAAATGTTTGGGTTTAAGATTTTTAAAGTAAAATGTAAAATTTAATACGTAAGAAATGTTTTCAATCGTGCCAAACAGTATAAGGTTGTTGTATGGTTGCATTTTGTTGCAAAACTGTAGTGAAATCAACAAGAACTTTCTTGTGACAACATGTTTATAATAGTTACATGCATTCTGCTTACAAATGGAGGATTAAAACAAAATTAGAAGAAGCATTTTAACTGTTATTGAAAATATTGCAATACTTATCGCAATACAGATAAAAATATCGCAATATATTGCAATACGAGATTTCCAGCCGATACCCAGCCCTATTGATTTATCTACCATTTCATAACATATGATCCATTTTTAGCTCACCTGAGCTGAAAGCTCAAGTGAGCTTTTCTGATCACCCGTTGTCCGTCATCCGTCCGTCTGTCCGTCCGTCTATAAACTTTTCACATTTTCAACTTCTTCTCAAGGACCACAAGGCCAATTTTAACCAAACTTAGTACAAAGTATCCTTGGGTGAAGGGGAGTGTAAATTGTTAAAATAAAGGGCCAAGTCCCCTTACAAGGGGAGATAATCAAGAAAAGACAAAAATATGGTGGGGTCATTAAAAAATCTTCTCAAGAACCACTGGGCCAGAAAAGCTGAAACTTATGTGGAAGCATCCTGGGATAGTGTAGATTTTAAATTGTTAAATTCATGACCCCCGGGGGTAGGGCGGGGCCACAATAGGGAATCCAAGTTTTACATTGAAATATATAGGAAAAATCTTAAAAATTCTTCTTCTCAAGAACCACTGGGCCAGAAATACTGAAACTTTTATGGAAGCATCCTGAGGTAGTGTAGAATCTAAATTGTTCAAATCATGACACTCAGGGGTAGGGCAGGACCACAATAGGGAATCCAAGTTTTACATTGAAATGCATAGGAAAAATCTATAAAAATCTTTTTCTCAAGAACCACTGGGCCAGAAAAGCTGAAACTTATTTGGAAGCATCCTGAGGTAGTGTAAATTCTAAATTGTTCAAATTATGACACTCAGGGGTAGGGCAGGGCCACAATAGGGAATCCAAGTTTTACATTGAAATATATAGGAAAAATCTTAAAAAATCTTCTTCTCAAGAACCACTGGGCCAGAAAAGCTGAAACTTTTATGGAAGCATCCTGGGGTAGTGTAGAATCTATATTGTTCAAATCATGACCCCCGGGGGTAGGGCGGGGCCACAATAGGGAATCCAAGTTTTACGTTGAAATACATAAGAAAAATCTTAAAAAATCTTCTTCTCAAGAACCACTGGGCCAGAAATACTGAAACTTATATGGAAGCATTCTGGGGTAGTGTAGATTCTAAATTGTTCTAATCATGACACCCGGGGGTAGGGCGGGGCCACAATAGGGAATCCAAGTTTAACATTGAAATATATAGGAAAAATCTTTAAAAATCTTCTTCTCAAGAACCACTGGGCCAGAAATACTGAAATTTATATGGAAGTTTCCTGGCGTAGTGTAGATTCTAATCATGACCCCCGGGGGTAGGGCGGGGCAATAATAGGGAATCCAAGTTTTATATTGAAATACATAAGAAAAATCTTTAAAAATCTTTTTCTCAAGAACCACTCTGCCAGAAAAGCTGAAACTTATTTGGAAGCATCCTGAGGTAGTGTAAATTCTAAATTGTTCAAATCATGACCCCCAGGGGTAGGGCGGGGCCACAATAGGTATATTAAAAGGGGGAAATCTGGTAAAGAACAGCATGGCCAAAGTTACTCAGGTGAGCGATGTGGCCCATGGGCCTCTTGTTTAGCTCACCTGAGCCGAAAGCTCAAGTGAGCTTTTCTGATCAAAATTTGTCCGTTGTCTGTCGTCGTCGTTGGCGTTGTTGTCGTTGTAAACTTTTCACAATTTCATCTTCTTCTCCAGAACCACTGGGCCAATTTCAACCAAACTTGGCACAGAGTATCCTTGGATGAAGGGGATTCAAGTTTGTTCAAATGAAGGGCCACGCCTTCTTCCAAGGGGAGATAATCATGAATTCATGAAAAAATTAATGCCATCATTTAAAAATCTTCTTCTCAAGAAGCACTGTGCTTGAAAATATGAAACTTATATGGAAGCATCCTCAGGTAGTGTAGATTCAAGTTTGTTCAAATCATGACCCCTGGGGGTAGGGTGGGGCCACAATGAGCGATCAAAGTTTTATATAGGAATATATAGGAAAACTCTTTAAAAATCTTCTTCTCAAGAACAGCAAAGCCATGATTGGTCATATTTATATGGAAGCATCCTCAGGTAGTGAAGATTCAAGTTTCTTCAAATCATGACCCCCAGGGGTAGGGTGGGGCCACAATGGATGATCAAAGTTTTAAATAGGAATATATAGGAAAACTCTTTAAAAATCTTATTCTCAAGAACAGCAAAGCCATGAATGGTTATATTTATATGGAAGCATCCTCAGGTAGTATAGATTCAAGTTTGTTCCAATCATGACCCCCAGGGTAGGGTGGAGCCACAATGGGCGATCCAAGTTTTAAATAAGAATACATAGGAAAAATCTGTAAAAATCTTCTTCACAAGAACAACAAAGCCATGATTGGTCATATTTACATGGAAGCATCCTCAGGTAGTGAAGATTCAAGTTTGTTCCAATCATGACCCCCAGGGGTAGGGTGGGGCCACAATGGGTGATCAATGTTTTACGTAAAATACATAGGAAAAATTTGTAAAAATCTTTTTCTCAAGAACAGCAAAGCCATGTTTGTTTTTTTTTTAATGGGTGCATCTTCAGGTAGTGTAGATTCAAGTTTGTTTAAATCATGACCCCCCAGGGGTAGGGTGGGGCCACAATAGGCGATCAAAGTTTTACATAGGAATACATAGGAAAAAGCAAGCCTTTTAAAATCTTCTTCTCAAGAACAGCAAAGCCATGATTGGTCATATTTATATGGAAGCATCCTCAGGTAATGTAGATTCAAATTTTGTTCAAATCATAACCCCCCAGGAGAATAGAGGGGCCATAACAGGGGATCATAGTTATACAAAGGAATACAAATGATTTATCGATAAGAATTGTCTTCCTAAGAACAGCATTAGTTGTCATATTAATTCAAAAGCATCCCTTTGAAGTATAGATTCAAGTTCAAATTAACCCCCCCCCCCCCCCTCGAACCACTTTTATATCAAAACTTTTCAAGACTGAACTGATTTCTGCTTTTTCCTAGCCAGAGTGCTCAGGTGAGCGATGTGGCCCCTGGGCCTCTTGTTTTACCAACTTGCAACTTGAAGTCAGTCAACTTACTGGTAGTATAAAGAGTCTTTGTCTTTTATTAAAAAGTTGGTACATTGCTTTGCAAAAAAATGGTGACTGGATTTGGATTCAACATTCATTCAACATTCATGCCTATTCTATTTAATAAATACTTGTTACTATTAATCATTTCAAATGTTTGAGCTTCAGTTTGCCTATTGGTTGGTATCCTCATGAGTTTTTGTCTGTTTTGCTTGCTGTACATTGTTATATAATCTTAGTAATGATATCATGTTGAATATCAGTGAATTGCAATATAGGTACATTCATGTCTATTAATTTTAAGATACTATAATAAAGTTTTAAGCGTATAACAGATTTACATTTCATTGAATGGTGTATATTAAAATACATAAATTAATGTGTTCTCCTATTCTTTTTTCCTGCTTTATCTTTTTTCTTCTGTCTGTCTTACTCCTTGTGTTTCCATAACTTCTGGCTCCCTTGCCACCTCCTAGCAACAGCCGGCAGTCAAAGCAAGGACACCACTCTCAGTTAGAGGACGATCTAAAGGTATTGAAAGCAGTTCTACAAAATTTATACATGTATCATAGTCACTGTAAGTGATTTTTCATGAAGTTAGTAAACCATTTTAATTTGTGAAAAGATGAAAGCTTCATTACATAGTGTATATTCATATTTGTTCAAATCATGACCCCTGGAGCTAGGGCAGGGCCACAATGAATGATCAAATACATACTAAGAATATGTAGGAAAAATCTTTTAAAAATCTTTCTCAAGAACAGAAAAGCGAGATTAGTCATATTTATATGGAAGCATCCTTAAGTAGTGTAGATGTAGGTTTATTCAAATTATAATGACTTTGGAGGTAGGGTGGGGCCACAATATGTGATCAACGTTACAGTGACTCTGGTGAGCACTGTGGCCCATGGGTCTCTTTTTTTTATGGTTGTTCACTCCAATATTGTTCTCCTGTAGGCGCTGACTGTGAAAGAAGGAAATGGAAACATTGATTCAAATGGAAATGATGGTAAGAATAATGAAGTCATGATTTTAATTTCATATTATTTGAAACTTAATCCAGTTATGGTGATGAATATTTTCCTTTTTTTATAGGACATGAAAATTCTAGAGAAGTAAGTATACATGCAATTTTATTACTAAAAGTGTACTTTTAGAGTACATTTAGTAGTGGTGTGAACATGATTTTATATAAAAGACTATATAT